CGTTTTGATCGTTATTTTGTCTTTAAAGCTCTCTTATTAAAAGAACATCCTCAATTTGCTAAATAAATAATATAATTTTATTATATAATTTGTTATTTTATATGTATTAAGTTATATAAAAACCTATACTAAAAATTACCTTTAACTTTATGCATTTTATGTCCTTAAAAAAATTATGTTAATCTTCGATAACTTTCTAGATCTTCTATGTAGAAGAAAAAATGAAAAGAATAGTTAAAACTAATGGAAAAAAGAGGGAAAAGGGGAAGAAATAAGGGACTTAAAATTGGACTTAAATCTTAGGAAAATAGAATAGGAGAATAAAAGAAAAATATCTAAGAATTAATGGAAAATTACCTAATTTTTTAGGAAAAGAAGAATATTAAAGAAGAGAAGTACTTAAAGAACTTAATATCTAATATTAAACAGATAGAAAACTTTACTCAGAATATATATGATTAAAAATGTTTCGCCCTCAGACCCTGATTCTGACCATGACGATCTAACTTGGATACAATGGTTTTGTTCACTTTCTGGAAACGAATATCTTGTTGAAGTTGATGAACAATTTATTGACGATGAATTTAATTTATATGGACTAGATAAATTTGTTACAAACTATGAATCTGCACTTAACATTATCTTAGATTGTTATTCTAATGAAATTAAATCACGTGGAATTGATCCACATTTACTTCAAAAATCTGCAATGAAGTTATATGGATTAATACATGCTCGGTTTATTCTTTCTCCAAATGGAATGAAAAAGATGAAAAATAAAATTAATGCAAACACATTTGGTCATTGTCAACGATTAAAATGTTGTGACCAAAATTTACTCCCAGTTGGTATTTATAATACCCCAGGAGAAGAGTCTGTTAAATTATTTTGTCCACGATGTGGTGATTTATATATTCCAATGCCACCATATGACTCTCATATTGATGGTGCGTTTATTGGTACAAATTTTCCACATTTATATATGTTACAATACCCTGATATTGTTGAAGAAAGTTCCAGCTCATCTGATTCACTTTCTAATTCTATGAATAGTTCAAGTTCTGATGAGTATGTTCCTACTATATTTGGTTTTAAAATTAATACTAATCCAAAGAAAGGTAGCATTTCCTCAAAACCTTTGATTCCAACTAGACGAACTTTTGTTTGTTATTAGTAATATTAATTGAATTTAATTAAAATCATTTATGTTAGAAAAATTAATAAAAAAACAAGTAAAAATTTGTTTATTTTAGAATATATTTTTTTAGTTATCTTTGAATATATTGTGGAATAGGTAGATAACCATTTGGTGGTATATTTGGTGGTGGAATTCTGTAAAGTGGTGGAGGATAATAGTTACATTTACAATACCCAGCCTTTTGATGTGGTTGTGGGAAGAGTTGCTGAGATGGATAATAGATTGGAGGTGGAACAAACATTGGCCCTACCATTGGATAAGGTCCTTGGTAATAATTAAACATAGGATATTTCATGTACTTATTATTTTTTTTCATTATTTTCTTTTCTCTTTTTTTTTCTTTCTTTAAAAAGTACTTTTTATCTTTTAAACTTTCATCACACTCTTCATCACTAATACAACCAAAATCATTCTCTTCTTTTTCAGTGTCAGTCCTTTGTTCTCTTAAATATTCCTTAATAATTTTCTTTGCCATCTTTTCAGACTTATATTGAACGTAGGTTTCAATTAATTTTCTTTGTTCTTTTGAAAGTGAGTTCATGCACTTTTTCCAAGAGTCCTTCAAATCTGTTATTTCTTCATCACTACACCTTTCAACAGATGAACTATTTTCTTGTTGAAAAACTGTAGAATAAGGATAAGTTATGTTCATAATAAAATTGAGTTCTTTTTAAGAACTTGTAATTATTACTACACTAAAAAATTTTTTTGTTAATGAGGAATCATTCTATCTAATTTTTGTGATGAGATTTTCTTTCTATTAGTAAATAATAATTTTAACCATTTTTTAATCAAAGAGTAATCAATTCGGGCGATGAATATGTACTAAAACTAGCTCTTGAGGTAATTTATCTACGGCTTCCCATAAGAAACAAATTGATTCAACAATCATTTGGTTTGATTGGTTTTGAATTAAGAATGATTTTAAGCAATCAAAATATAAGGACTTGGAGATTTCTGATATACAGTTTAAGCCTGCTCGTAGTTTAGAACGTGTAGCAATGGACTCATCATCAAAAGAATGTATACAACATAGTGGTACTAATATTTTTAAATACTCTATTGAGAATTTCTGAAGAGAATTCTCAAGTTCAGGAGTATCGTCATATAAAGTATACATCTCTTCAAAGAAATCCATCACATCAACACAATTTTCTAATGAAGTAGAACAATACTGTAATAACACTGGAATGATATCAATGAGAATTGGAGAGTCATAAAACGCAATTGAAAAATTAATCAAGGTCTGCAATGCATTTGGAGTTTGTAAAAGAATGATTAACTGAATAACTTGAGTTGTCATTTGAAGAAAAGGTTGTTCAATTAATTCTGAAGCTATTAATATTAAAGAATGGTCATAAAAATAAATAAATATTCACAAACCTCGTATAAATAAATTTGAAAATAGGTCTAATGAATAGTCAATATAAGTAGAATTTTTTAATGATAAACACACCACCTGCAATAAAGATGAAAGTAATTCTTTTGGAAATGTAGATGAGTACTGAACAGCATCAGACAAAATTAAAATAGATGAAAGGTTATTTGTTTGAATAAATAGTGTCATAATTTCTTTCTGAAACGAAGTCATCAATTTTTGTAATTCAGCTGAAAGGTCATATGGCAATATATCAATAGTTTCATATATTCCATGTAATAATTGAATTTGTAGATCTAATGATGAGTAAGATTGTAATACTCTCATTGGATTGGATTTTGTTTGTAATATATACATTGCAATAGTATAGCTAATTACAGAATTCATTCTATTAACATAATAGTCAAAAATTTTTGTACTACTATAAAACAAAAAAATAAAACAAACTTATTTAATAAGAATATAGGTAGTTGGATTGATTGTTGATGAAGGGCCATTATATGCTGCAGCAGTTGTTGAATTATTTCAGTTGAAAATCTCCTTCTTTTAATAAAGTTGTAAAAACCATTTAATGAAAAAAAGAGAAATTCTTGATCTCCTAACTGAATTGCGTGTTGAAGTAGTTTTCCTGCATTATCACTTTCTAAATATTGTGTTAGTTGATGTTCTACTTCTTTACGTATCGTTGGGTTATTACTTGAATAGAATGTGTGGACTAATTCTCTTAGATGAACAATTGTTTGGTGGTTCTCTTCCCCAAAAGGATTCATTTGATTTTTTATCAAATTCTTTTTTAAAGGGTTTATATTTTTGTTTTATATAACAAAGCATTTCATTTAAAAAAAGAAACTGCAAAAAACATTCTATGGAAAGACAAGTTGATATTATCGACCAAATCTTTGCGAATATTGATTACCTCAACGACGCTATGTGCTTGCCATTAATTGAACTGACAAACAGATTAGGAACAGCAACCCAAAATGAGACACAATTAACAGATGACGATTATAAAAAATACGCTAAAGATATTATTGGAATATCAAAAGGAGTTTGTTGAGTTTAATCCTCTTTTATTTTATAATTATTTTTATAAGGCATTACAAGTTAATTTGATAGTTGGATGGGTTAATTGATATGTTACCACCTTCAGAAATTGATACAGAAAAGAACAATGATAAGATAAAAGAACTTACTGAAAGAAATACATTAATTGATGCAAAATTAAAAGAAATCTTAAAAGAAAGTGATGAGTGTCTATCTCATCTGTACAGTCTTGATAATGCAGTGAAACAAGAAGTCATTTATTCTAAAAAATAATTAATTTATTATATCAAGTGAAAGGAAGTCATGTTGATTTTATATCAATTTAAAAAGATAACTATATAAAATATAGTTTTTCTTCTACAAAGAATAAGTACTATTGATGGACTTAATATTATCAAATACTGAATACGTTATAATAGAAGAAAAGCCTTTTGTCATGAAAAATCACTGTTTGGAATTAATGTTCTTTGTTTCACTTGGATTAGCACTTGTGGCAGTACCTTACTATTTCTACTTAACTCATTCAAATTGTTTCAGGTAAAAAACAAGTCCATCTCTTTTATATTTTATATACTAACCATGTTTTAAATAGGATTAATTAAACATCCTTTCTCATTGTTAACTTTTAAAATTTTTAAGAAAAACAATTTAAGTAGATTTCTCAGTTTATTTCCTGTAAACTTACTTTAAAGTATTTCTTCTTTATTTTTTCAGTACCTATAGACATTTGTTTTACTAGTTTATTTCAGAATAATCCATTATATTTCATATTTTTTTAATAGTAGTTTATGGTTGTATATGATTTCATAATATTTCTGTGTTGTCTTAATTTGGTAACCATTAACTCTAAGTTTATTAATTATCTAGAGCTAATCATTAAATAGTTACTATTTTAGTAAATTATTTTATTTTCATGACACGCTCTCATTAATGTACTTATGTATTTATTTCTAAATAACAAACAAAAGTCATAGGAAAAATAGTTAAATAAAGGTTATTAAAAAAGGGGCAATAAAAATTAAGATGGTAAGAAACTAGTTAAAAGGATGAGATTCAAAAATGAATAACCTCAATCAACAAGTTATCGACCTATGTTTGATTTTAAAATTAAAAAGAAGTATTTTCAATACATAAGCAGAAACAACTGAATATAAGTCAGTTAAATTTAGTGTTAAGAAAAGTTATTATTAGTAACGACTATATAATAAGAAGACTCATTCTTAGTGTAAGTACTAATTCATTTTATCCAAATAAAATGTATTAACAATACATAACAATAATAAAAAATTAATTAAGTATTAATAGAATTTGTTTCTATTGTTCCTGGATCAGCAAGGACTAATATAATCAAAGGGTCATTTTCTAGTAGCTCTACTAAGTATGTTCTATTGTAATAGAAGTAATGTTCCATGACATTAAACATATTCTTAATTACAAGGTTTTTAATTTCTTTAATGTTGTCGATTTCTATTTTTAATTCTTTAATTAATTTAATACTTTCTACATTTACTAATTAATTTATTGAAATTCCTACTGCATTCATTTTAACATCTTTTAATTTCTTTATTTTCATTATCATATTCTTCATTTCTTTATACTTATTTCTTTTCTTCCAAT